TGATGTTTGTCTAATTTTCCAACTACCATCTACTTTTTTTTTGTCCTAATTTAAATTAAAGTGTGCTTCCCATTAGGGCATTTAAGTGCCCTAATTCAAAACGAATATCATTTTGGGGGGATTGAAATTGTGTGGGTTCTGTTATTGGCTCTGACAAATACCTTTTTAAAAGGGGCTCTTAGTAAAGTGTCCAATTTAGGGTAAACATGTTTTGTTTATCAAAAAAAGGCCAATTTTGAAAGGTCCATTACACATTTGCAGGCAATGGTGGATGCCGGACACAGGGGGCGCTAATGTGCCAGCCTTGAATGACCTGATTGCAGTGTGGGGTATGGCCTTCAGTGACGGTCTGTATGAGGGAGACTTCACAATGGCAGATCATGACAGTAAGACTATAACTTCTCACTATATCAATAGCTATGTTTCCATCCAAAGATGCAAATTTAATTCATGCACAAAACTGGAACATTGCATAAAACATTTGCAAATAAAGCACTGTTTCCATCCAACGAGTCGAAGAGAACAAAATCGATTAGTCACTTCCTGATAAATTGGCACTAAATATCACTAAGAAAAGTAGGAGAAGCCACTAAACAAAATAACTTTCATATAGGATAAAAACAAAACGCAATAAATGTGGTCATTGCTTTCGGAGGTGGATGCCTGCTGTTTAGGAATTGCAGTGGTGCAAGATAATTATACAGACTGACTTTGCTCAGGCATTTTAGAACGATCAAAAAACCTTTCAGATGCTGTGCATTGAGATCGGTCCGCTGGTTAGTCAAGTTATCCTGGCCCATCGTGCAAACTCACAAGGCCTTTTTTTTATGCTCATGGTGGAATTTATTAGGTAAATGTTTTTACAACGTAGTTTGTGCATATTTTTTCTTATCGGTTAAAAAGTTTATCCTACTCAAATAGTTTTTTAATCTTGGCGTTTCCATCCAGCATGTTTTTATGCAATATTCCAAAATGCACATAAAAATGGATGGAAACATAGCTTCCTATTAAATACAATATTGAGTAGACAAGAGACAAGTTTGCCTAAAATATTATTGAGAAAAGATTTATAATAATATACCATGTCTTTTTGCTTTTAGTGTATTATGCCTCGGGGTGCAGCATCGCTCGTTTTCCTGAGGATGGGATTGTCGTCGCTCAGACCTTAAAGGATCAAGGTACATGGCAGCTGCTGTGATTGTACACCTCTCATCACTGCTCTATCCATGGAGACCAGCTAAAAGCTCCCTCGTTTTCTTAATTCTCTTGTTATTGTTATCTGACATCCTCAAATTTCTAGGTCTGGAGGTCTTGAAACAAGAGACTGCAGTGGTGGAAAATGTGCCTGTGCTTGGACTGTACCAAACACCCTCTGAGGGGGGAGGCCGTATAGCACTCTACGGAGACTCCAACTGCATTGATGACAGTCATAGGCAGAAAGGTAATGGACATTTGTGTATACAAGCTCACAATTTGAGCGAACAAGTCTGAGAGAGTTCAAAAATACCACCACTAAATATAAATGTTTTGACCGTGTTAATTTAATTCAATGTGTTTGGATTCTCTTTTCTCCATTTTAGACTGTTTTTGGCTTCTGGATGCTCTGCTACAGTACACTTCCTATAGCATGACTCCACCCAGCCTGACCCACTCTAAAAACAGAGTAGTGCCCCCTACAGGCACCGACAGGCCATTACCACAGAGATTGGAAGGTAATATTTAAAACATTTTCAGTATTGTATTTATTAATTCATTTTAATGCATTTTCAGTTCATTTTGATTCATAATTTTATCAAACTAATTCATTAGTTTTTGATGTGTTTTAAAAAAAAATAATTTAGTCTTTTATTTGTATTTTTAATGCATTATTTTCAGTTCATTAATTTTCTGTCAAATTTTCATTATTTATATTTTTTATTTGTTAAATTTTATTTCATTTGTAATTCATTGACATTTCAATATATTTTTTATTAGTGCATTTTTATTTTATTTATTCATTATCTTTAAATCATTATTTGAAGTAATTTGTTTTTAATTTAATTCATTTATTTTTAATTTCATTTAATGAATTCATTTTCATTTAATGAATTTAGTTCATTTTTATGAATTCGATTTATTATTATTATTATTGCCTAGAAAAGCGCTATATAAATGTAATGAATTATTATTATGATGATGATTCTTTTTTGTAGGTAATCACCTCTACCGTTACTCCAAAGTGCTGGAGGCTCATTTGGGTGACCCTAAGCCTCGTCCTCTACCTGCATGTCCTCATCTGTCTTGGGCTAAACCCCAGCCGCTTAATGAGACCGCTCCTAGGTCAGTACACATGAGACTGCTGCCAATCTCAACTACTGCACTGTCAGTGGAAACAAATCTAAAATTGGATGCATTGTCTTTTAATATCGACATCTGACAAGTTTTTTTTTTTTTACATTTATTTCTTCTCAGCAATCTGTGGAAGCACCAGAAGCTGCTGTCAGTGGACATGGACAAGGTTGTTTTGCCTAATGTGAGGCTATATCGGCCTCAGGTTCGACCCCTGTCTCCTGGAGAAAGTGGAGCCTGGGACATCCCTGGAGGTGAGGAAGGAACTTTTGCTGTGTGTTTAGGAAGTAATCGATCAGTTGTCACCCACAAATTGCCTTTTAGATTTCAGTTAACGGATCGGAGTAATTCATGTTTATGTTTTTCCTCAGGAATAATGCCCGGCCGCTATAATCAAGAGGTGGGCCAAACCATCCCAATGTTTGCCTTTCTTGGTGCCATGGTTGTTCTTTCCTTCTTTGTGGTGCAATTGACCAAGGCCAAGAGCAAGCCCAAGCGTAGGAAACCCAGAGTGAAACGACCACTTTACCTTCAACAACAGCAACAACAAACCCCTCACTCAGGCAAAAACCCCACCGTATGATCAGCCACATACCACATCTGGACAAAGTAACGGAACAGTCTTCCCTGCGGTGTATGTGATGCCGTAACCCCTTGGTAATGAGATTTAAAGGGCTGTGTCTGAGATGAACCAGCCTTCTGCGCCCAGATGAGGGGCTTGTTTGGACATCAGTGTTCCCTAACTTGTCTTTATTCAATATTTGCCTTTCAATTTTGTGACCAAATGGAGGAATGTTTCCTTTTTTAATTTATTGATGAAAAATTTACTATTGACCCTTACTTTGTATGTCAAATTGGACAACAGAAACCAGCCAGTCAGTTTCCTTGATCAACACATTGGACTTGTTTCCACATGTCCTCATTTTTGTATTCAGTCAGACTGTTTTTATAAAACGGTTGTGTGCTTACATCCTTTGTAAATAGCCATCATGATTTCACTGTTGTTGGTGTGGAATTATCAATGTTTTAAATATATCTTATCCGATATAAAGCAAGAAAACCTGCCTCTTTCTTTATGATAAAACTTAGATGACAGTCTTCATATAACATTACAATTGGGAAAAAAACAAGAACAGTTTTTATCTTGTTTATCCAAGGGATGATTCCGGTAAACCACCAGAAGTATATGGAATGCTTCGGTTTACTTTTGCTACTTTCGATGATGGATGAACCTATTTGTCCTTTGTTTGCATAAGATACATGTGCATAAGATTTATGAAGCTGTCACGGTTTGACTGTGTAGCCCACTAGTTTGTCAGAAGTAAAATATCACTTCAGGACATTTATTTGGAGGAAAGCCATATTAGACTTGGTCCATCTCAAAACAAGCATATATATGTTGTCATATATCTTTCTATCTGGTTAAAAGCATATTTAATGAAACTATAATTAAATGCACATTCTTTATTTAAAATATATAATGTTCATTCCTGTGATGCTGAATTTTCAGCATCGTTACTCCAGTCTTCAGTGTCACATGATCTTTCAGAAGTCATTGTAATATGCCGATTTAGTGCTCAAGAATCATTTCTTATTATCAGTGTTGTTGAAAATGGTTTGCTGCCTAATATTTTTGTGGAAACCATGATACACTACCATTCAAAAGTTTGGGGTAAGTAAGATTAAAAAAAGAAATAAGACATTTATGCAGCAAGTGACACTGATGATTGGCATAATGGCTGCTGAAAATTCAGATTTGTCATCACAGGATATATCTAAACATTTATTAGGCTATCTTTAATCAACATTGGAAATCATTGTTACTGCTGAAAGGGCAGGAAATATAACAAATTGAATCTCCCGAGATAAAAGCATTCTTCAGACTATCCCACACAATCATAGCCTCCCAGTAATTGAATGCTGGTGTAGAAGGGCAAAAGAAACGTCTCTTCCTCCTCATTCTAAATCGGATCAACACTGTCTGCTAAGCAGTCTTGTAGTTTCCTGAGCTTTTGCTTCAGGCCAGTGTGAAATCGACTAATTCCATTAGAAGTCATAGAGGCTTGGAAGTCTCTCTAAATCTCGGTCCTGATCCATTTTTAATGGGAAGAATGGCCTGTGAAAATGTCACCAGTCCCTTTCAGGTGACGAAACGTGATAGAAGTTAATGACATGAAGAACATGGGAACTAACCCTGACCAGTTATCTGTGCTTAAGTGGATTTCCCAAATCTCTCATAAAGGAGGTCACATGTTCCACTTGTTCCTCATATCTAGAAAGTTCCCAGCCTTGCTTGTGATTTTCTCTGCCAAGACTTGGGATCCAGAAGAGTGACAGTGAGCCTGTAGCACCAGTGCCAAACCCATATTTTCATCTTTCCACAATACTTTGTGTCATAATTTGTCTTTTGATGTACTATTTGATGCAACTTATGAGGGGGGAAATTGTTGGATATTTCAAAATATTTAGTGGGAATTTGTGAGTGAATTTAATAGCTCTGGAATCTTTTTTTAACAGTTCCCTTATAGGGAAAAAACGGCTAAACCCAGCTTAAGATGGTCTTCCAGTCTGGTCATAGCTGGTTTGCAAGCTGGTCTTGTTTAGTATTTTTATGTTATTATTATTATTATTATTTTTGAACCGTTGTTTGTTAACCTACCTACATAAAACCTACAGTTAGGATTATGAACAGCATTATCAGTGGAATATGTTTAATCTGATCAACATTGGTGTAGTGCCATTGTAAATTGCCGTACTGTTCGAACCCAAATGCTTTTCATTAAATTACTGACGAATCAAATTGGGTTCGTTTCTCCAAATCGTGGAAGAGCGTTTGATTGGCCTGAAACACCAAACTCCCACCCCTCATTCACCTGAGCTAAAGTTTGAGCTCCCTCAGAGAGAGATCCAAACAGGGACGAACATGGAGGAGCTGGCTAAAGAAAGCATCAGCTTTTTAACAAGCCCCGCTCTGGACACAAACGGACCGAAGTTGGGCTCGTTAGCAGCGGTTTTCATCATGCTGAAGTCCGCGCTGGGTGCTGGGCTTCTCATCTTTCCCTGGGCGTTTGAGAAAGCTGGAGGAATTCACTCTGCTGTCATTGTAGAAATGGCAAGTACCCTAACTCTTTGCTACAATGAAACACTGATTGTTTAAATATTTTATGGCTCAGTTAACCTGGTTTCTTCACTGTGGCTTCTACCATATCGATTTTGTGTACACTATCTATAATTAATGAATTATCTTTCCATTAAATCCAATCCAATGATCATTTGAGATAACTTTTTGTTCAGTATATGCATATTGTTAACTCTATAATGTCTGAATAACATATTTCCACTTGTTTTGATTCTGTTCATGATGTTATATGATACATTTCTGTCTTGCATAGATTTCTCTTGTGTTCCTGATCAGTGGACTTGTCATCCTGGGCTATTCGTCTTCAGTCAGTGGACAAAACACATATCAGGCTGTGGTCAGAGATGTGTGCGGTCCTGCCATAGGCAACCTCTGTGAGATATGCTATGTCTTCAACCTCTTCTTCATATCTGTTGCTTTTCTGGTCATAGTGGCCGACCAGCTTCAGAAATGTAAGCAATGTAAAGCCGTTAATGGGACTTTTTTTTTATTACTAATTGCTCATATTGTGTTTTTGTAAGTAGACATGATCCATTAGATGATCCTCACATTGATCCATCTCCATTCATTTCTCCCAGTGTGTGTCTCTATATACGAGTTAATCACAGGATTGCCAGAATCAGAGATGCCGTACTACTGGTACACAGACCAGAGATTTGCCCTGTTTCTTCTATGTCTCTTCTTCATTTTCCCTCTCTCTGTCCCGAAGGAGATCAGCATACAGAAGTATACCAGGTGAGGAACTGTATTCTGACAGTCTTTTGCTTGTTTTCTTGACTATATTGTTCAGAACAGTGTTATTATTGTTAACTAAAACTAAAACTTTTAGTCCTTTTTGGTCATTAAAATAAAGCTGAAAAAATATAAATATTACATGAAAATCTTAAAAAGGAGAAAATAAGTGAAATAAGTTTAGGTGTTAAAGTTACTAAAACTGAAATAAAAATAAATGAAAGTTAAATAGAAATAAAAAAAATTATAAATAAAAGCTAATTTAAAATATGAATAATTACTGTAATAGTATACAAATAATACATAAATAACCCTGGTTCAGTTAAGATGGCAAAGTAGGTTTGTTTTTTGAAGGTTATTGTGTTTTGTTGTATATATTTTTCTAGTTATGTTCTGCTCAAGATGTATTTCATCGGCTAGGCAATGGCGTTTACTCACTAGTCACAGTGATGTCCCATTTGTGAGCAAATTATTTTAAATTGGTTCTTTTTAGTGAATTGTGTGCAACAGTTTACAAATAATTCTTTTGAGACTTGTCAGAATGGTTTTTGGATTTGATTGGTCAAAACTGTGGGAAGCCTGTTTAGGTGGAGAGAGTTGCAGAGTAAGTGTGTAAAAAGACTGTGATTGTGCTTTCATGAATTTTATGAAGCACTTTTATTGCTTGTTTTTCATTAGGACTTTTATGGTCAATTGCTGTGGCAGTGCACAGCATTTTGAATAGCTTTCAAATGACTCTCCTCTGACTAATAAGCAAAGATTTCTTCCCCACACATCATCAAGATAGTTTGTTTAATGTCAGCAGCATTTATTTTCTCATCAATAGTCTTTGATATTTCTTTTTGCTCAGTGTTCTAGGAACTTTTGCTGCCACGTATCTCACTGTAGCCATCATTGTGAAATACCACATGAGGCCCGTCCATGAGATCAATCTGTCTCCTCTTTACAGCAGTGGGTGAGTGTGGAGTGACGGCGCTTTCAAATTTAGTCGTAAATTGTATAAAGGTTCCCAGCATCTTCAGAACCATCTTTTCCTCTTGCCGTGCCTAAACAAAACTTACTGTCATGCTGAACGAATGTTGTTGAGAATGTAATTGGCTCATTTAACTGAAAACAAAAGGTCACAGAACTTTTATCTGTGAAGATGCCTGCTTAACTATCATTCTTTTTTTATTATTATTTAGAGTAGGCTCATGGGCTTCGATGTTCAGCGTCATCCCGACTATTTGCTTTGGCTTTCAGGTGAGTTTTCATGCTTTTATTCAACATACTGCCATTTCGCATTTGAGGAAAGAGAGAGATTCTTTCACTGAATATCATCACTTCGGTCCACAAATGAGGGGGAAGCCAAATTGGTTTTGTTCTCGCTTTAATATTTAAGGTCAGGTCAAAGGCAAAGCGTGAAAAATGGTGCATCTTTGAGGTGGGTTTTATTTGTTAACACCGGGGGATTGTCAAAAATGTAATGAAAGTCCACGGGCATAGCAGAAGAGCGCTGAATTACTCTGTGTCCGCTGCCCGAGGCTGATTGATTACGAGGCGGAAATGGAGATATGAAAAAGAGCTGTGCAGCAAGGGAATCTGTGAAAAATGGGCTAGTGCAGAAAGTTAGTTATTACAAGAAAAGCTTTTTTTTGGTGTAGGAAAAGTGCGCTGGAGATCAGATGTTTGAACGCAGCTGTGCTTGTGCTGATGCTGTGTCTGTTTCTAGTGCCATGAGGCGTGCATTGCTGTCTACAGTAGTATGGAGAACAGGAAGTTGTCTCACTGGGTCTTCCTCTCTGTGGTGTCCATGTTCATCTGCCTCATCATCTACTCTCTCACTGGTCAGTAATTACGATATATTTACCGAAACTTCATATGGAATCATGCTTCATGTACATTAACAAAATTGTGTTGTGAATGCAGAATTTTACAAACCACTTTTAACAACCATTTTAATTTGTTCATTTAAAAAAATATATGTATGTGTGTGTATGTATGTATGTATGTATGTATGTGTATATATACAGTATGTGTGTATATATATATGTGTATATATATATATTTGTGAATTGTAAAGTTTTTTTTTTTGAGTAAGGATGCATTTACTAAAAGTTAGAGTAAAGACAAAAACAATTCTATTTAAAATAAATGCTTTTGAACTTTATATTTAAAGCATTCTGAATTTTTTTTACACACAAATAGCAGCACAACTGTTTTTAACATTAATAATAATGTTTTTTTCTTGAGCAACAAGTCGGCATATTAGAATGATATCTGAAGAATCATGTGACAGAACACTGGAATAATGGCTGCTGAAAATTCAGCTTTTCCATCACAGGAATTAATGACATTTTAAAACAAAGTAAAATAAAAAGAAAAGTTATTTTAAATTATTATAATATTTCTCAATATTTTTTACTATATTTTTGATCAAATAATTGCAGGTGAGCATTATAGACTTTCAAATACATAAAATCTTACCAACAGCAAACCTCTGAACAATAGTTTTTATACACACACATTTGAATCCTCTTTAAAGCAACTGAACTCAAGAGCACTTAATTGAATTTAATGGGGGGGGGGGGGGTCTTTGTGTTAACATTATACTGAACTGGTTGCTGTGCCAGTTTGGAAGGTTTAGGGTTTTATTGAAACTTGGGTTTTATATATATTGACATCAGTCCTCTTAGCTTATACTAGATCTTTTTTTTTTATTAAAGGAGACATATTATGCCCCTTTTTACAATATGTAATATAAGTCTCTGGTGTCCCCAGAATGTGTCTGTGAAGTTTCAGCTCAAAATACTCCACAGATCATTTATTATAACATTTTGAAAATGCCTACTTTGAGTGGAAGCAGAAACGCATTGTTTTGGGGCCTGTCTCTTTAAATGCAAATGAGCTACTGCTCCCCGCCCCCTTTTCGTATCTGCTAAAACATCTGTTATGGTTCTGATTATCATGTTTATTGCACTGAAATAATTTATGGGGGGGGGGGGGTTCTTTGTGTTCACATTATACTGAACTGGTTGCTGTGCCAGTTTTGAAGGTTTAGGGTTTTATTGAAACTTGGGTTTTATATATATTGACATCAGTCCTCTTAGCTTATACTAGATCTTTTTTTTTTTATTAAAGGAGACATATTATGCCCCTTTTTACAATATGTAATATAAGTCTCTGGTGTCCCCAGAATGTGTCTGTGAAGTTTCAGCTCAAAATACTCCACAGATCATTTATTATAACATTTTGAAAATGCCTACTTTGAGTGGAAGCAGAAACGCATTGTTTTGGGGCCTGTCTCTTTAAATGCAAATGAGCTACTGCTCCCCGCCCCCTTTTCGTATCTGCTAAAACATCTGTTATGGTTCTGATTATCATGTTTATTGCACTGAAATCATGCGTTTTAAACCATATAAGTTTAAACTTCATATATACGGTTTTCTGAGCGCACACGGACAGAAAGCGGCTGTCACAGCATGTGAGTACTAAACTAAGTTCTCATTCACACACAAGTTAACGTTAAAAACACACACGAGTTACAAAAACAGTCGGTTATGTCTGTGAAGGTAAACTGCTGGGAAATATTTTAGATCTGTGTGGCAGCAGCAATATACAGTAAATAAATCAATAAATCCACTGCTCTCTTGTCTCCTCTGAGGCTGGGACTCTAAATAGTGTTCTGTGCTGTTCTGTGCAGCCAAAGACAGAACAGTTAGTGTGTTTTGCTCAAACATTCGCCATGGCATTAGAACTGGTACACTGTTGTGCTTGCGAAATCAAAATGAGGTGCCATGGGTGGAAACTTAAAGATTAAGGGGCAGTAATATTATAATGAGATCCCTTTGCCACGTCACCAAGGGAGCTAAATCTGACGCTCTCGTTTTCTCAGACGCTTGCAGAAAAATACTTACCAAAACAAAGTTACTGGGTTAATCTTTTTCATGTTTCCTTGGTTGGTAGATGCACCGGGGACCTGATTATAGCACTTACCGGTAAAACCTGGAAAAGTCAGATTCTCATGATATGTCACCTTTAAGGACAGTGTAATGGTTGATTAGACATATAGTTGTTGGTAACACTCTATTTTGATAGTCCACTTTAAACATTTTACTAACTATAAGTAACTACATGTCAAATAGCAGTCCTTAGAGTATTAGTAGACTGTCTGCTTAATATCTGCTAACACTTTATTTTGATTCTCCCCAACACATTCTCCTGACTATAAGTAACTGCAAGTACGTGTCAACTTATTCTACTAACCCTAACAGTCTACTCTAATGAGAATTAGTTTGACAAGTAGTTGCAAATTAAGAAGAGTTAGTTGACTGCACTAAGTTACTTATAGTTAGTGGAATGTCTAAAGCAGACAAAATAAAGTGTGACCTATTTGTTTACTAATGAGCATATTGTTGAACAGATGAGCTGTTAACAAGGACTATTTTGTAGGAGTCTTTGGCTATCTGACGTTTGGGAAGAACGTAACTCCTGATATTCTGATGTCGTACAGTGGGGGTGATGTGGCCATGATCATTGCCAGGCTGCTGTTTGGAATCTCAATCATCACCATCTACCCCATCATTGTCTTGCTTGGAAGGTATGCAGCAAACTGTGTCTTATGGCTATTAGGAGAATAGTTTCTTGCACATACAGTATATAGATTAATTGACACGTCTGTAGATCTGTGATTCAGGATCCGCTGCTGCGGCGACGACACAAACACACAGCAGTGACAGGGTCTTATGAGAGCCGGACGCGTGTTGCCTTGACCACAGCCTGGGTCACAATCACTCTTCTCATCGCAGTGTTTGTTCCAGACATTAGCAAAGTGATCGGTGTTGTCGGAGGAGTCAGTGCTTTCTTCATCTTTATATTTCCAGGTGATTGTGTGTGTCTTCTGTTGATATATTTTACAAGGCCGCCACATGATGTGTGTTGAAATTAATACTTAGTTCATGTATATCTCATAATTTATTAACTGAAAAATGAATACATTTGTAAAGGGGATCATGTATTTTTATATTTGCATTCTGATTATAAAAAAACTAATTCTCGTTATACAATATATATATAATGGTTTCAGCTTGGTTCTCACAACACAATGTCTGCATTTTAATATAATGTGAATCTTTGATTGCTTTTATTTGTAGCATGATGTGTATATTTATATAATTTTGTATTATTTTTATTGAAGGACTTTGCCTAATATTTGTGGTGCAGTCAGAGTCAATTTCTCTTACAATGAGGTGAGTGAAGTGGGGTATAAATATTGTAGTTCTTTAGTATCCTGTATGTTTAATGGAATTCATGCTTATTCTATTACATGAACAATAAACATTTGTTTTTGTGCATTTTCCTCCAGATATCTTCTGATCACGTGGGGAATGATCACACTTTTCTGTGGTACCTATATTTTTGGCCAGAGCACTTCTGTTGCGATCATGGAACTCCTAAATTAAATTTAACACCATGACTTTTGTTTGTATGGTTTGGCATAATTTTATACATTGCATGTATGGAATAATTCCTTAAAAATGGAGATTGTTGTACAAATGTACAATCAGCTTTGTGTGAAATACCTCAGACAAACATGTCATGTAAATCTGAACTATTTATATATTGTCACGCAATGTTCTGCAATTTTAATGGCAAATTTCATGTTGGGATAGATGTGAGCTTTACTATAATTACAGGGATAGTTCATCCAAAAATGAAAATTCTGTAATTTACTCACCCTCATGTCATTCCAAACCCATAAGACCTTCGTTCATCTTCAGAACACAAATTAAACTTTTTTTTTTTTGATGAAATCTGAGTTTTCTGACCCTGCATAGACAGCAACACAACTGACCCGTTCAAGGCCCAGAAACATAGTAAGGATCATTAAACATCACTAAAATAGTCCATGTGACTATCTGTGGTTCAAACATATTATGAAGCTATGAGAATACCTTTTGTGCGCAAAGAAAACAAAAATAACAACTTTATTCAACAATTTCTTCTCTTCCGTGTCAGTCTTCAACGTGCATTCACGAGAGTACCATGCACCACAAAAGCATCATCGTAGCTTCATAAAATTAAGGTTGAACCACTGATGTCACATGGGCTATTTTAATGATGTCCTTAAAACCTTTCTGGGCCTTGAACATTGTAGTTGCGTTGCTGTCTATGCAGGGTCAGAAAGCTCTCGGATTTCATCAAAAATATTTTAATTTGTGTTCCGAAGATGAATGTAGGTCTTACGGGTTTGGACCGACGTGAGGGTGAGTAATTTTTGGGTGAACTATGCCTTTATATTTAGACTATTCTTTAGATTTGATTGGAAACACTTTTGTACACTTAAGCAAATTTGTAAATTAATAAATAATATTTTATATAAATTGTCTTAGAATAATTGAATGTGACAATGTAAAAATATTCATCTAAATTAATTTTGACACCCAATGACTGAAAAAAAATGCTGAAAATGCAACGACAGATCCTTTTTCAGTACTTTATTGAATAGCAGCACTCTACATAATCTAGAATTTTAACAAATTTCAGACGAATATAATACTTTGCATCCCTGCAATAACTCTCTACACTCACTTATAAGAGAGAAAGCCAGTATACGGAAACATACATGGGTATAAGAAGTAGTATTTCATCAAACAATGCCATTAAAAGTGACTGCTCATATAGTAAGGTTTATTCATTTCATATATATAGAGTTTTGCTTTGTTCCGTTCCTGGAGTAATATAAAAGAAAATAAGAAATGCACAAAATCCATTTAAAGTAGCATAGCTAAATTCTACGGCAAATCATTTACTAGACATTAATTTGTAACATGCACTCACTGTGAGGGATAAACAAACCAAACAGAAGGCAGGATTGGTGGTAAAGCAAACGGAAAGGAACGCTGCAGTTTGGGCCGTGTTGGTTTTGAGTTGTTTACACATTGAGCCAACCAGAAATTCACACAAATACAACAGCCTTTGAGTTACTGATCAACAAATGTGAGATGTGAAAATCTGACCTACTTTGAAAAATCCTTTTTGCTTGTGCTGAGAAATGACATGATTTTATGCCAAATGTTCAATTATAGAGAAGCAATAAAACTGATGGAATAATAATTTAATGCCACCCTCTAACTCTACGCACTCTTTCTAGATCCATATATTATCTTTAAAAAATGATCAACATAAAATATTCAATGTAATTTTGTTATTACTCAGGATATTCTCTCCTCTCTATCAGCGAATCTCACTTACATAAGCATTTCATCTATACTTCAGGTACATTGTGCTTTTGGACCAGATGTTTATTTGGTGTGTTGTAAATGTAGGCCCTTTGACTGGGAGAATGCGTCATGCTCATGTATTGACAAAAGTACCAGTCTCTCTGCATGGCTCAGTGCGTTACACAAATGTGTCATGAAGATACAGTTCAAAGCACTTATAGTTATAACACCAACCTATAACTAGTATCAAATGACCATTACAGAAATGCTATTGTCCATGGACGGCTGTAGAAATACTTTGCTGCACAGTTTTTGTCTTCTCAGAAGTTGTACCACAGGGAACTGTTTGCAAAGCAGCGGATGCATGTTTGAATGGGGATGAAATATTAATCAGCCTCATTTAGTTAGAAGAGACTGTTTATGTAAGTTGATATTTCAAATGCTAATGTGAATCAACCAGGTGAGGGTCCCAAACGCTCTGGGGACTTTTAATGTCGTTTCTGTATGTTGCAGTGGAGGGTGAAGAGGGAAACGATACTGTGTCTGGTGTCTGCAGCCGACACTACATTTGGCTCAATATCAAATGGATACTGTGTAAACAAGTAATTACAAAAGAGGAGACAGAGTGGGGAGAGCGCAGAGAGAAAGGGGGGTAGTTAAGATAGCAGGGACTGTGATAGAGAGGGAGGAAGAGGAGAAGAAGAGAAGGTTTTCAGGCATAAGGCGGGAACGTTCCACCCGCAGACTGGCTCGCTTCTCAGTCCCTGTTCAAGCTGCACCAGGCGGCTAGAAAGAGAGAGGCAGTCAGTGTCATTATTACAGAGAAACAAGCGTTTACAACAGATGTTTAATGCCTCAACTTTCTGTCTTAAGTTTATACAAATATGTCAACTGACATTAGACAAATTGTTTCTGTTGTGGTTATGCAAAACGGCACCACAAGGCTGTTGATATCACTTCACATCTAAAGAGTGAATAAGATGAAGTGTTTTCATTATGCCATGGAGTATCAGAATGTGTGATGGAGAATCAAAGCAAGTCTTTTACTAAAAAAAGGGGGGGGGGGGAATCGGATGTTTTGCTCGTATTGTAATAGACAATGCTGAACAGATGAAATACATACAAATTCAAGTAATTATTAATATAGATTATTGCAACTGAGCTATTGAGATTTATTGCAATATTCATTACTTTTATTATTAAATTAAGAGAATCTTCAATATGTGATATTTTGAACAGTTTTAGTTTTTGAACAGCTTCTTCTAAAATGTTATAAATTAAATATATGATTATAAATAATATAAAAAAAACATATATTCGGTTAAATTTTTTGGTACCATACAGCCCACTCCTATGTTTTAATTATACAAAGAGAGAGATGGTGTTATAGGCCACTCCTATTTACAACTATGCAGGATAATTACATTGTATATTTTGCACAAGCTGTCTCCTGACATACAGCTGAAATAAGCTTGCGAGAGTTTGGACTTCAAAAGGTATTAATGCAGAGAATGTCAGAGGACGGGCATGCTGAAAATGAGAGTAATCCTGTAGGGCAGGTAGGAATACATAATGGCTGTGAAACGTAAGGACATCACCCCCGCAGACTACACAAGACACAGAAAAGTAGCATCAAAGGCTGGTTTGGCACCAATGCCCAAAGCAGCCCCTACAGTTGGCAGCAGTGGAACGCACCAGGCACAGCGACAGCAGACACAGCCTCGGGCTGGCACAGAGTATCCACTTTCACATGCTGGAAAGCCTTGCAAGCTGCAGTCTGAAGGTGCCTGAGAGAGAAACAGAGAAGGTTAGAAAAGGAGCAAAACAAATCAGCCCTCTAATTTCTTGAGATGCACAGTCGCAGCAATAACATTGTTAATGTATCAGATTTTTTATCCAAGTGGATTTTAAATATAACTTAAAAAACAAACACCTCTGATAATTTAGTTTAACAAGAACATTATAAAGCCCAGTCATTGTATAAAAAACTGTTTTTGTGTGGTCACGTTAAATTTCAGCAAGATTTTTAGGATAGAAAATCCAAATAGTGTGGAGATGTGTGAACAACACAGAAGTAACTTTCAAACTAAGCAGCTTCCTGTTGGTCAGTGTGGTGAATTTGCGTGACCAACTTAAACACAAGCAAAATCTGCAAGTTAAACTTTTTTGCCTTCATGTGAAACACTTAATCGCACAGACTGCTATGAAAATGACTTCACCAGTGAAGTTCTGCCAGGAAACGGTAAATGTGACCGCACAGTTGGTTAGACAAATGGTCATTTGTCTAACCACCTTCATGTCACTTGCAACTCGTGACCCCAATGAAACACAAATGTGCTTGGGAGTTATCAAAATGTCAAAGCTGCTCTTTTCCATGCAACAAAAAAGCATCAAGTTCAGTTGCAACTGAAAAAGACAAAAAATACAGGCCAATATGTTAGGTCAGGATTTTAATCTGGCTCCCTATACATACCAATTGAAACTATATACAAAACACATTTTGCGCTTGAACGAAAATGAACCGAACTTCAAAGTAAAAGTTTGTTTTCATGTTTTGTCTCAAGATAATTCAGGTGCTAATAGCAATCAAGATGAGCAGAGTTTAGAGAAATAAATCCTGAGTCACGGTTGAGGCTAAGGGATACAGCTACGGCCAGAAGTGATGCAAAATCTCGCCGGATGGAAAGGAAGAAAGTGAAAGAAAACATAAAAAATTTATCAAATGGACAGAAAAGAAGACAACTAGCAAACTAATCAGCCTAAATTGTGGCAAAGTCCTGTGATCCAAAATCTCTTAAAATCTTGCCGGATGGCCAGGAAAAAATGAAACAGACAGTGAAGAAGACAACTAGTGAACTAGATTTTGCAAGACTAGTATCCCTCCTGGCCGTAGCTGTATCCCTTCTAACCACAACACAGGAGGAAAGGTGTTTTACTGTACCTCTTCCATTCCTCCTCTCCGTCCCAGAACTCATACACCACAAAGGAAAGGCCGTCAGGCAGCCGCACAGCCGTCACACTGGACAGAGATGAACAGAAGAACAAAAGTGAAAAAACACTACAAAATTTCACTAAATTTTCATGAACAGTGATTCAGCAGGCTGATGGAAAACACTGTAAATCTTACAGAAAAAAACATCTATTTAAAAAGCAGAAAAGGTAAACAGAACAATAATTATCCAATGTACTGTATGACCCTCCACTTGATGGCAGTACCTCCTCACAATTCCTGTTCTGCTTTTTTATTGCCTAAAGGGCTGCCGCTGTAGCAATGATTAGCATTAGCTCAATAAATCAACAGAAGTCTAAACATCAGCCAGTTCAGACAATCCCCACACACTCCTCAAACTTTCATTAGAGGCAGCAAAACTGCAGCTAGTAGCTTTTTTAGTGCTTTCTGGATGGGGAAATGATTCAAGCTTTACTTAATCTTAGGTCGCCTACATGTTAGTGATCCTATCAGGTCATGTCTCCAGCAGCTGTAGCTGCTTAAAGTCAATGCTAATTGTTTTTGCTAT